CTTCAGGTGATTATCGAAGCTCTGCGCCAGGACGATCAGAGTGCTGTTCCAGGTCTCTAGGGCTTTACTCGCGTCAACGCCCTTGGGGATCGTGTTCCACAGGTAGACGTCGATCTTACGACGAAGTGCGTTGGCGAAGAAGGTGCCGTTGGCATAGGCACCAGTCAAGCTGAGCCCTTCAATTTCGCGGAACTTCTCGTCGACGCGGTCCATTCGAATGAGCGCCACAACCCACATGATGAGGTAAGAGACGCCCTGGAGGACGAGGACGAGCATGATGTGGAGGAAGAAGTGGAGTGAAGCCCAGACTTGCTGCTTGATCGTACCAAAATGTTCCTCGTGCATGCGGTCGAAGTATAGCATGTACAGAAGATCTGAAAGGTATTAGCAAGATGCTCGAGAAGTCAGGTCGATGGTTGGTAGCTTACAGATTATCAGCACCGAAGAGACGATCTGGCCAGTTAGCTGAGTATCGAACTGAGATCCATTCTTGACGATTTTGGATATTGCTTTGCAGACAACGATGATGCCCTCTCCCAGGATGATCAAGGTCAGTAGCGACATGCGCTGCACGATGTGGGTGCCCTTGAATGAGATGACGCGCCAGTAGCACGAGATGCCAACAGTGATGACGATCTCCGCGGCGCTGATAATGTACCATGCGTAATGTACCTTAGTCGTGAACTGCTTGCAGACACCTAATTCCAGGTTGCACGTCTCCTTGGGTAGAGCACCAGTAATGCTTCCGTACATCAGTGCCGCGATGAGCGTCGAGCCGATAACGAGGGATAGCGGCAGGACAGTCCGTTTGTGTTTGCGCACGAAGAACAAAGTGACGCTATACTGAGCCGCGAGTACCAAACGAGACACCATAAGGATGAATGAAAGCACTTGGTACTTCTGGAGTGAGCTCGTAGGTTTTCCAGGCTCCCAGGCAGGCCCGACGACAGCGAACCCGACCATAACACCAAAGTGGAGGGCTTTGGCAATTCGCTCGAAGATGCAATCGGCAGTGAAGCGAACGTCATAGAGCGAGTTCGAGTACCAGGTGAGCCAGAGCAAGGCGAAGAACCCGACGTAGGCGCGCAGGGAGGCACTGTCATTGATCTCCTTCAACGAAGTGAACGTGGTCAAGTTGGCGACGAAAACTGAAAGATAGCGTCGTTAGCAAGAAACATTCAAATCGTAGAAAGGTCTAGATGCTTACAGAGATCGAAGAACAACTCTTGATTCGTGGCTTCAGCATGGCGCTTGAAAGATGGCATGTCACGCAGCTCCTGCGTGCACACCTCGACCTCGAGCTGAAGACCAGCTTCGGCATTAGGATCGTGAAACTCGCTATCGAGGACCGACTGTGTATTCTCTCGGGTTATGGCTGGGCTTTGATGTTCCTTCTCGCCGTCATCTTTGACATGGTCTTCGACCAAAGGCGAAGCAAACCACTTCAAAGGCTTCTTTTCTTCGCTATGATGGTGGTACGTGTTGCCCATCTTGACCTTGGAGATATATGAAAGAGTGTAGAAAGTGATGCGGTCTCTATGAGTCACCGGTATGAGTTATAAATGGCGAGTGTCCTCGACCTAGGTGATGGAGAGTGATGATGCCAGAGCTTATATGCAAGCAGGGCCGACTGTCTGTTATTGCGTGATTGCGTGCTACTGTGATAGTGTGGAGTCACGGGTAGCATGGGAATAACTCTGGAGATCTATGAATGTGACGCGTCAATATATTGGGGTAACTGTGAGTACCGAATGCTGTTTGGTTGTAGACGTACAAACGCTGTTTGCACGTGCCGTGGTATGTGGAGATACAGCAGCGGATGTTGCGGTGACGATATCAGAAGCTGTGTCATATCTCCTTATCTCCGGTCCGTAACTTCACCGATGAATACATCCTCAGATTGCAGACGACGATGCGACGGTGATGTTGTTTGTAGATTTTTGTGAAGCAGGCTGGCTGTAACATCGATAACGTCACCTTATCGTAATAGTACACATTGAATCTACACCAACTTCAACTCGAAGTTCTTAACCAGGACCTCCCCACCCAGCTTGCTTGTCGCAAAGTTGAACACACCGAATCGGTATCCCGTGAAGAACTGCCATGTATTCGCCATGTTGTATGCAGGACCAAGCTGCACGAACTTGGTGCCATCAGTGCTGTACCAGAAGGTTGTTTGTCGCACCGCGTTGGTGTTGGAGAAAGCTGGCGTGATGTCTGACTGAACGCGGAACCACAGATCGGTTGTGCCGGCAGCAAGACTAGGCCCCGTGGCAGCGACAGTACCGGTAGACTTCGTCGTTCGGTCTGCGTTCAATTCCAAGCCGTTGACCATTACCAACTTTGCCGCAGAGCCTTCTTTATGTATACCGATGTATGCTCCGGTGTCACGGAAAAGTACAGCGCCAGCACGGTCGCCAGTGGCCATTTTGCTGATGTCGATCTTGAAAGTTCCCGATGATTTCGGGCCAAGGATACGGTGTGTCAGCGTATTGCGCGCCGCGTAGAGGTCATTCGTAACAGAAGCAGTCTGTAACTTGATGCCACCAGCCCCGCCTACTAGGCTCCACTTGCTGGTATCAGGGTTGTGGTTGAATTCCCACTCTGCACTTAAAGCTGTTCCAGTAAATTTGTCCAAGCCGGTGGGTGGGGGGACGGTCTTGGCGGTTGTGACTGGCATAGGGTATGTCTTGCCCCATTCACCATTCACTTTCTCAACTTCCGGCCATCCATCCGCCGTCCACTTCAAAGGCGCAGCGACAGGAATGCGTCCACCAGGGTACGAGTCCATAAACGCAACGTAATACCACTTCCCATCTTTGGTATCAACTACGCCACCTTGGTGGCTGTTACCTGCATTCGGCAAAGGTCCTGCAATGCTGTCGACGAGGATTCGCGCCTCATATGGGCCCCAGGGACTCTTTGACTTCAACACCCACTCGTCATCGGCCGGCTTGGTAGCAAAGATGTAGTATGTGCCGTTGATCTTGTACATGCGCGAACCTTCGAGGTATAGGCCATTTGGATCTTCATAGACTTGTTGACTCCTGACTTCCGCTGTGCCGTCGGCGTTCAATTGGGCAACCTTGAGCTGGTACTTGTCGTACACGATGTACATGGTGTCATCATCGTCAATAAAGATCCCGTTGTCGTAATAGCACTTGGGGAATGAGCCCGCGGCAGTCCAATTCCAGCTCGACACTTCGCCATTGTTGGCGGCTGCATTGTTCCCGTCGGCAGTCCATATGTACGACTTCCCGGTGGATTGAACACAACCAATCCAAATGAACTTGTCGGACGATTCGCGGTATCTCAGCGAGCTGGCCCAGATGCCCTTGACGTAAGCATGGCCTGCTGTGTTATCGAGGTCGTATATCGAGCCGAAGTTAAGTCTTGGTACGCTATGAGTTACTGGTGTCCAATTAACGAGGTCGTAAGACTTTAGGACCGGAGCTCCTGGCGAGAAGGCGAAAGTCGAGGAGGAGTAGTAGAAAACATCGCCTATCCGGAAGACGTCGAGGTCGGGATAGTCTTGCCACAAGACTGGATTGTTGAACGTTGTAGCCCGACTGGTAAGCTCGTTGCTGGCGAGTGGGCTTCCCACGGCCGACCGAGACAATAAGCTGGCGAGCGCAATAGCTGAAGAGAAGCGCATGGTGGCTGGCGTATGCAATGAATGTGCTTGTGAAACGAGCGACGATGCCCTGGAGCATTTATACCAGCAATGGGCATTGCGCTATTTCGAGTGGCGCATGTCATCTCTGGAGAACCTTGTCTATTGTAACATGTTCATCAATTACCCCACATAGCCCTCTCAGGAAGTGCGCTACCGCTCAAGACGCCGTATTTACATTGAAAACCCGGGGTAATCACCGCACCAAGTTTGGGGTCGTCGGACCGGCTTCGCAACGCTCTTTCCCATTGGTGCAGCTCGGCTTGAGTTCTTCCGACTGGACACAGGCTGAGTGATCGACGTCGTCATTGCCGGTGGCTATCCGTGGTGTCGTGAGTTTTACCGAGCGTGAAGATTTGCGAGAATGTCGTATACATAAGATGAGATGCGAGGGGAGATGACATCGAGTGTGAGATAGAGGATGCAGGGGTAGATGTCAAAGCAAGAGGGCCCGAGCGTCAACCGTGTTTCGTCCGAGCTTCCAGACACGTTCCTTTAGACCCTGCACCAGCCTCGCTGCGGCGAAGAACATAGCGCAGACGTCTACCTGCTCCAATCCAGTCCGGCTGGTGTGCTTCCAACAATGCGACCTCTCAGGATGACGTCAAAAGTGTTGTTGTTCATAGAATGACAGCTTTCCAAACAGGGTGTGACCTTTTCCCAGAGTCGGCACAACTTTTCTCCGATCGTCTTAGCCCGTTTGTATGTCATCTTCGCCCTGTACTTCACTTATCGTCACACAGAAGGACATGATCGGTGTGAGCAAATAGCGACATTGCTTGTCTGCACATACCCTTAGACTGCTTCCCCGATTTGGCAATTTGTACAAACATGGGGTGCAGATACGGGATGCACATGGCGCATGCCAAGAGCAGACAGGACTCTCTGGAAGAGGAGGCAGACGACTGATGAGGGGACTAAATCGGTTCGTTTCTCACACATTGCCTGGCGGCGAACCCCTCTTGCCCGTGGTCGCCACAGTAGACTCGATATGATACGAGAACGGACACTACAGGCAAAGTTGGCTGGCTTCACGAGACCAATGGCTTCGATGCTTTTTCGCTGCACGGCGATCGGACATAAGTCTTCGCCCCCACCCTTCAACTACATGAAGGTTTGCTAACGCTCATTACAAATCACGGCTACCTTGTCTTGTGGCTTGGAATGCGGTATGAATGCTAGTCAGCGAAGGATGGTGGCCTAATAGCAACTGCATAAATAGTTGTCGTCATCTTACCAGGACGAAACGCCCACAGAACAACTCGAACTCCTTGAAGATTACTGAAGCAGCCACTCGATCAAGATTGTTTGCTTCTACTCCTTTTCAATGGACGAATTTGAGCAATACCTCGAGAAGGCGACTGCCAAAGGCTCGGACATTGTGCCCGGAGCGGTGATGGCTGTCGTCGATAAGGATGGTACTTTCCCCATACTATCTCCAGATATATGTGTCTCACACGCGCTGCAGGCAAATTCATCTACAAGAAGACCGCAGGTCACAATGGCGTCACTGAAGATGCGGAGCCTATGGACTTCGATCGAACCTTCTTCATTGCATCCTGCACAAAGCTCATCACCGCTATTGCTGCCCTGCAGTGCGTTCAACACGGTTTAGTCACGCTAGATGAACCAGTCGATCAGTACCTACCAGAGCTGGCTTCCCAGCCCATCGTTCAGATGGACGGCTCCGAGATCAAAGTGCGTCCAGCCACGAAGTCCATTACGCTGCGTCAACTTATCACGCATTCCAGTGGCACGACGTACGGTAAGTGTTTCTAGACGGACAGCACACAGCATGGACTGATTTCGCCAACTTGTAGACTGGGCTTCTCCAAGTCTTTACGCGTGGCGAGCCTTACGCGGCGAACTACCCGCTCTGATCACCGATGGCAACGTGGCTAAGAAGTATGCCTATCCACGAACCTTCGAAGCTGGAGAAGGCTGGGAATACAGCGGTGGTTTCGATTGGACCAGTTTGCTCATCACGCGTTTGACCAACATGAGCTTCGAAGAATAGGTCGAAATCAACATTGCAAAGCCTCTCGGTATAACTTCATTTACCTGGCATCTCAATCGCAAGCCCGCAGTTGAAGCAAAGCTGATGCGCACGAGCACTCGGCAAGACGACGGCAGTCTCACAGATGGCCCAACACCCTTTTGGTCTGGCGACCCTGTCGGAGAAGGTGGTGGAGCGGGCTTGTATGCCAATGTGCACGACTACACGCGCGTGCTTGCGGATCTTCTCAAACCCACGCCTACCATACTCTTCAAAGCCATGGTCGACGCCATGTTCAGCCCGCAGTTCGCCGAAGACAGTCTCGCGGCCAAGGCACTCGTCGATAACGCCGAACTCGCTTATACCTGCACGTTGGACGCCAGTATGGAAGGCGTCAAACCGAACTTCGGACTTGGTAGCCTGTTTTTGATGGAAGATGTGGACCGAGAGAACTACTTCAAGCCGAAGGGTACGCTGTGCTGGTCAGGACTTCCGAATTTACAGTGGAGTGTCAATCGGGAGAGGGGAATCGCGCTTTTCTTTGCCACGCAGGTGTCACCTTGGGCGGATCGCAAGACGTTCGATCTTGTCGCAAGATTTGAGACGGCTGTTTGGCGAAACCTGATGGCGTAGAGTTGGCGGCAGTTTGTAGTTAGTAAGATGACTGGTTTTTTCGCAGTGTACCTTTGCTATGCATTCATTGATGTCTCTCACTTCAACGCTCGCGTTTATATAATTGAGTCTGTGCGCTACTGCGGTGGTAAACGTGAACGTGGAAATGACTACCTAGGTAAGTTTCCAGTGGCGCTAGTTCTCAGACTCGCACACCCGCCCTTCCTTGTCACCGATACTACACCACGATACTACACCACGATACTACACCACGATACTACACCACGACTGACCTACCAACATCGCAATGACTGCCAAAGCACCAAACATGCCACTCACTGAGATCTGCTTGCCAGGGAATCCTGCTGTTCCAGGTACCGATGCAGATCAGCCTTCTGCTACGGGCGAAAATCTTCTCAAGATGGTATGTTCCAAGAATTTGAACTGAGTGCTTGCATTACTCACTATTGGAAGCCTTGCGACGAGACCAGCGATGCCCACTACTGCTCCTCTACGAACCAGTCGAAGGAAAAAAACACACACCAAATAACTTCACCCTCACCGGACGACACCGACGAGCAGTCGCACGCTGCGCATGATCACATTAAGGTCTCCGTCACCAGCAGCGATCCTGGACTCAACACATTTCCGTTCATGCGATTACCCGCCGAAATACGTCTTTGCGTCTATGATCAGCTAGTGGCCATGCCCGTAACTCGATCGCCTTACGGACCTCGCGTCCAAATATACTATACCAAGCCGTCTGTAGGCATACTGAGAGTCAGTCGAATAGTTCGCGAAGAAGCCTACTCCATCATAGAGCGCGGTTATTTGCAGATACATCCATCAATTACTGTCAAGGTTCCTGCGACCAGCAGCCGAGCCAATTCATTGCAGCACCTATATCGAATCGCAGATTTGATGGGTGACCTTGCATACCGGTTCCGGAGAGCTCGGCAGGAGGACAATGAGCATTGTAGCACATCTAACGAAATGCATCGATCGACACTGCTTAGTCTCCATCAGTGGATCGAGGGAGTGTTCGTCAATGACTGGGAAGGCCCTTCGACACACCTCGACAACAAGGCTGTCACATTCGAGTTCATGAAGCGAGCGATACTTTCTTTGCGACAAGGAACGTTCAGCATGCACATCATTTTAAACGACAGCAATCTCCTCCTGGATGACACCGTCGATGACTGGTTCTGCCTTATCAAAACCTTGGCTGGAGTCTCAGCCGCGTGTCCCTCTCCTATTGATGGCATGCTTCGCATCTCGGTACCTGCGGATTGCATTGCACACATGCGAACTGTGCTCAGTACACCTTACACCTATGGAAGAAGCCTGCGTCCTAAGATGTGGAAAGTTGACATGCTCGAAGACGACACTTAATGAATGGAGAGCTGATGAGCAAGGGCCGCGAGAAGGAATTTAGGAGCCCTTTTACTGGCGACGGGATCCTCTTGGATTGCTTGCCTTCATGGTGATAGTTCCTGGTGGCTATCTGGTAGGGGCGTATCCCAGGTTTCAGCTCATACTTTGTCTACTACGAGAAATATCAATGTATACTTTCCCAGCAAAGATCTCAGTGTCAGCGCTACATCTCCCTTTAAACCTGCGGGAGGACCTTCTTCAATACCTCGACCAATCCCTTGATCTCCTCCTCAGTGTTATAATGCACCATACTGACTCTCGTCACACCCTCGGGCTCCAGTTTCAACAACTCATCGCAAAGCCTCTTCGAGTAGAAATGCCCCCACCTGAACCCGTAGTTACTAATCTTCTCCGCCTCAGCCACGATCGCCTTGCTGCTCATGCCCTTGACCGTGAACGAGATCGTTGGTACTCTTTCCTTGCTATCGCTCGAAGTAGAGCCCAAGATCGTGACATCTGGTCGTGAGTTCAGGAAGTCAAGAAGGATAGCCTGCAGCTTTCCCTCATGCTCAGTGATGGCGGGGAAAGCGTCGGTGAGGTAAGCCGTGATGGTCGGAATGGACTGCACGCACTCGTAGTTTGAGCCTGCGAATCCGATCTTGTCTTCGAGGGTCTTCGTGGGGTTGAAGAAGTGGGCCAATGGTTTCATGTGCTGTTGGGCTGAGTTGCTTGCGTAGAGAGCGGCGACATGTGGGCCGTAGACCTGTGTCATTTTGTCAGTACCCGCTGACAAGGAAGTGGAGTAGATGCCGGACGAACCTTGTACCAACTGAATGCGTAGAAATCGACTCCAAAATCCTTCACATCAATCGCACGATGCGGCGCGTAGCTAACGCCATCCACGCAGAACAGCGCGCCAACCGAATGCACCGCCTCTGCAATAGCCTTCACATCATGAATCGTCCCCAGAATGTTGCTCACGTGCGTGCATGCTACGAACTTCACTTTGTCGCTCAACAGCGGCTTGAGGTTCTCGGCTGTGAGTTTGAGTCCATCCTCCTTTGAAGACGCCCACCACTTCACAGTCAACCCAAGACGCTCAGCCATGAAAAGCCAGGGCTTCGCATTAGTCTCGTGCTCCATCTTTGAGAGAATGATTTCTGAACCCGCAGGGAATTGCAGGGATGAGCCGAGGTTCATGAAGAGTTGTGTTGTTGAAGCACCGAGAACTGTTCATCGTCAGCAACTGGATGCCCAGGTGTGAATGGATTTGATGGTTTCGTTACCGATCTCATCGCGGCCAGCATTCATGTACTTTGCGGCTGCTTGGTAGCCCTCCTCGTACTTCGTGTTCGACTGCGTGCCGGTGTGGTATGAAGCGCCAAGCTGAACATTGGTCTTGGAGAGGTATTGCACTATTCTGTATCCATATCAGTCCTTATGTATACCCACGATCTGGAAATCCACCTACGAGTCAATCGCATCACCCAATGCCTGACTGCCGCCGGCGTTGTCAAGGAAGACCTGATCTTGCAGAAGTGCGGGGAAGCGCTCCCGGGCTTTTGAAATGTCGAACGTCATGATGCCAATCTCAAATTACGCTGGAGTGATAGGAGTAGCAGATACAGTATTGAAGGTTTTAGGACTTTTGCTAAGATGTTGTACACCTGTGATAACCGCCGGCACGCCCTACGCAGATAGTGCGGGGCTTTGCTCAATGCAGCAGGTGCTAACATCAAGCAGTGACGGCATTGCCTGCCCCACGTTACGCCAGTAACTACAACGCGCATTCTCGAAACCACAAAACTATTTTGTGAAATGAGTAAGATGAAATACCGGGAAGGGTGTCCATGCGACAGGCCGCCACGCACTTGCAAGGCCATGTTACCACCAGGTGTTGACAAGCCCGATAGCTCCACTACGTTCGGCCCTTCTCCCGGAGCGACCGACTCTCAGTCCGCATCGGAGCGCACCTAGATGATATTTGGATGGGAGAATCCTTTGTCGAACCTCTTCCTATCAAGATAAAGGGTACCTTGCGCCTGGAAGAACGCCAACAGAGTAGCCAAAGCCGACGTGTCAAGATCGCAGGGCCCTCCCTCACCGGACTCGAACTCATCGTCAAGCTCAATGCCATTCTCGTAGCCGTGGGCTAGAAAAGGTCCACGGAAGTAGTTGCCTGCAGCTTGGCCCAGCCATTTGGTCAAACTCGGAGTGGTGGGCAGGTTCTCGTTCATGTAATTGTCATGATAGTAGATACCGACCCGGTGCGAGGGTATGCGCTTGAGGGTGGGCCAGGTGTGTGATATGTGATTCAACATGTTGCGACCGAGGAAAGGCTCGCATGATATTGATGCGAAGTCCTTGACGTTGGTGTATTCGATCCAGACGAAACGTGGCAAAGGCTCATCTCCGGGAAAGAGGAGACCGCGGAAGAAGGCTGCACCAGGTCGTGGCTCAAGACCTGCGAAGGACTTGCAAAGCATCTTGTGCATCTTCCAGTCTTTCTTCTGACAGGCGGTAGAGCAGTAGCGTGCGTTACTACAGGTGGAACAGCGTTGTTCAGCAGTCTCTTTGCAGACGAAGCAGGCATGGGGAGTCGTAGGCGGAGCTGGTGTCATATTTTCTGAGTTGGTGATCTTTGAGAAGGTACAATGGAGAGCAGTGGGTAGTATGATAGAGATAGAAAGTTATAATTCGTAAAAGACTGCTCACTTGCCCATGACCTTCTCATTCAATCATTGGCACGGACCCCAGGGCCGACTTTGTCTCTCACCTCGGCTTTCCACATATCCACCTGTTCTGTCCCAAATGAGTCGAAATGTCCTTCCAGGCGTCCAGTCTCGGTAACCACACTACCTTTACCTTCCTCCAAGAACTTCTTCGTGACCTGCGCAGCGATCTTCAACAGCTCTTCCGAAGGCACACCGTCTGTCTCGATATCCTTTTTGCCCGCGGCCGTAGAGAAGACGAAGCCAACAACAAACGGCAGGTTGCTTTTCTGTGCTTCCCACTGTTTTCCAGATTTGGCAGCAATGATGGGACTGAATCGTTCTTTCATCCTCCCCATCAACTCCCAGCAAAGGTCGTGCATGGTGAAGTAATCGAAGGTGATTTCTGGAGCCTCGGCGTGGAGAGCAGTGGCCAATTTCTGGATAATGTGGGTTTGCCTTTGAATGGTAGGTGCGACAGCGGCGAGGGACGAATGATGGCTTGCGCCGTCTTTGATCGCGTCTTCAATGGCTTCGGCTGTGATGAGTCGTTCGTCGCCATTTGTTGCAATACGTGAAGCCATCCAGGCCGATACTGGACCCTTGAACTTCAATAAACGTGCGTTTGCTTTGGTCTCCTTGACCTTCGTGTTCCTCTTCGAACTTGCCCAGTTCGTTGCTGAAGCACCAATAGCCATGAGATAGTTCTTCCAATGCCCCTCAAAGTCTTTGGGGGGCTCTCCAATGAAGTAAGCCGAATTTCCCTGCATGTCCCACAGCGTCTGAAGATCCTTCCACTCTTCCGAAAGAAGCTCAGTCTGGCGCAGGGCATGGTATAATTGCGTTACGCACATGACCGCCCCGGGTGTTGCGGCGTACTTGACAGCTTCTCTGTGGAAGACGGTTCGTGCATAATGGATCCTGCAAGATTGGAGGTTCAAAGTCAGTATACGTCTCACATGTACATCGTACTATGAGGACTTACCAAAGACCACAATGTGTGGGGTTGCGACGCCACATGGTATAGTCCTTGTAGGGAGAAGTAAACGTCGCCCGGATAAGTGCGAGAGGATCGACCTTCATGATCTTTTCAATTGATTTGACCAATTTCCTCATGTCGGAAGAAGCTCTAGGGTAGACCTCAACGTATCTGTGAAGTGTAGTAAACTCGTTGCGCATCTGTGTCCAACCCGCACCAACCTCGGTAGAGTAGACAATGTCGAGATAAATTTGAAAAGCAAAGCACGTCCAGATTGGTGGTTGCTTATTTGTGTTTTCCCTTGCAAAGGACTTCCGCGCAGCATCGAAAGCGATGACAAACTGGTCCTCAACCACCATCGGATGATTGTGTAGCAAGGGAAGATCCTGGAACAGCTCTTGCAATGTGGACTTATCGCGGGCATACTTTTCCCTGTTCGTTCTAGGTGGTGGACCTTCATTTTCGTCGAATCGACCCCATTTGCCATTGTAGTCCATAATGTGCCCGTTCATGTTGTTGTTGAGGTAGACCAGAAGACCATAACGGGCGTTGACAAACAGGGCATCCGCGATGTCGTAGGCTTTGAAGTTGTAGTCGTCCGACCAGCAGAACCAGCCTTTCGCTTGGGGATCAGCGCCAGCTTCTTTGGCGATAGCCAAGAAGTACACCTCGTGGAATGGCACGCTTTCAACCAGATGCTTGATCACTGGGTAGACTTCATCTTCCATGCTGTGCGCAAGCTGGATTGCTGTGTTGGTCGCTACCGACACAGTTGCCAGGTCGAGTTCTCCCGCATGATGTCGACCCCACAGGTCTGCAATCTCAGCACGAAGGCGAGAGAGGTCATCCATCAACATGGTCATTGCCATAAAGGCTTCAATGACGGAGTCGTTCCACGATTCAGCAGTGTAGTCCAGTTCCACAGGCTTCGGCGGAGGTGCGACATCTGGTGCAGCGAGAAACTCCGCCGATGGCTCATACACATCCAAGACTTCGAAGATATTGCGAACTCTAGTCTGTCTGACTCGGTCTTTGTCACTCCTTGGCGTGGCATTCTTGATGCTGTTGAGATCGAGTGCATTGGTCCGTATCAAAGGCTTGAGTGCGTCGCGCACGCTTTCCAAGACAGTGACAAAAAAGCTGTGACGGTCATCAGACGGCTTGTCGACGGCTTCGCCGGCAGCTGCCAGCTTTTTCGAGAAAGCACTTCGAACAGAGATCACTCTATCGAGTGCAACGTTGAAGTAGTCCGGAACCTCTACGTTGCTGCCTTTGACACCGGCGATGTGAGCAGACAAAGGTATGAAATCCTTGATAGCAAGGGTGTATTTCGGACTAGACGTCTGCTTGTCTGATCCACTCTGCGCAGTATTTCCGGCTTTTCTGGCTTTGCCTTTGAGTCTTTGCGTTTTCTGTTCCGTGGGAGCAGGTGGTTCGAGGGGCTTGTTGTAGCCAAATGACTTGGCTGTAGTCGCGACTACAGAAGAGCGAGATTAGCGCGTGCATCGCTCGTAACTTTAACCGCAACTTACGCCATGATGCCACGACATCCGTATCGTGTTTGTATTGCTGGTAAGTGCTTCGTAGGTTGTTGGCCGCCATTGTAGATATGCTACTGCAACCGCGTCTACTCCAGCCGAACTGACCTCAGTACGTAGGTACTTAGGTATGCAGACTATCCTTTTCTAGTGAATAGAACTTCGGAGGAGATATTTTGAGTGTGTTGTCTTCGCTACCATAGACCCTCAATGGGTGAGACGGCTTTCTGGCGGTGCGCGAAGATATTGCTGGGTCCTTCCCCGCCACGCGTCGCGTCGCGATCGCGACAAATCGCTTTCTGAGGCACGCATCGAAAAAAGCAAGTCCCACCCTCTGACATCTTGCGTTGCAGAGTTTTCTAAGCGCAACCGGTTTTCCGCCCCGTCCATTGCTAAGTGATGCAGACTGAAGGTTGTACTCCCAGTGGTAATTCGATGTCGCGCGCCTGGATGATGGAAGGCCAGATGGATGCGGCCGGCCGAGCCGTGGAAAACCGCCATGCTAAATCGGGACTAGCGTTGATGACATGCGCTGTGCGGCACAGCGAGCACCTGCAGCATTGCAATCCAGGCTATCTCAATCACCCTGTACTTCATCAAATTGGTACATCTAGAGAACGGCTCTGAACAATGGAAGGGCTGCCGCCGCTTGAAATGTCCAGAAGTGAGCGTGCCAAACATCCGCCTTACATACGTCATCATCTAACGCTTCCCAGGCGACAGCACCAGCTCGCTGAGTACTCTGCCCAACGAAATACTACTCCAGGTCTTTTCGCATGTCGATTTGCATCGTTCCATTCGTGTATTGGGCTACATTCCAGATGATCCCCCTCCAAGCTCTCCAGACGAGTATCTCATTTCCGATTTTCGCGCTAATTCTCGCTCGCTGCTCAACATTGCGTTGACGTGTAAGAGGTTCACGGTTCTGGCTCGCGAAGTACTGCTCTCTTCGCTCGTGCTCGAGGTCGGCTTCCCAGGAACATTGAATGAGCTTTCCAATTCGGACATCTATGGCCTGATCTGGAGATTGCAAGCACGACCGGAATGGAAACGACATATAAAGCAGCTGAGGTTATGCTTACCGTCAGAAGATCGTGGCATCATGAAGCTTAGTGGTCGAGGTCCAGTAGAGCCTCACGTGAACTATCTCGTCTACGAGAAGGCGTGTGAGATCGTCGCTTCCCTCGATCTACCTGCTTGGTGGAAGACAGGGAAAATTGCAGAACTGAAAGGCACATTTGCACATGCTTCAGCTTCCGTGTTCTTAGCTCTGCTACCAAATATTTCGACTTTGTGCATATTCGACACAGGTTCAAATCTTACCCTTGCTGAGCCGCATTTCCAAGACATGCGCCGTTGGCAGAGATTTGCTTTCAGGCTACCGACCGCACATGTGCTATCCTATTTGAAGTACGAAAGCCCCTTACCGCCGCTATTAGGGGGCGGCTTGGAGCACTATCCCAATCTGCACACCCTCGACCTGAGCATCAGACTCCAAGGCCAAATACACTCGCAAATTCGCATGGCATCCGAGCACTATCTCAGTAGCCGATGCGCACAGCCTGCCATCCGACATTTACGTCTGGACTTTGAAGTCAGGACCGTTGGCGTATGGAACACCACCTCTCGAGCGTGTATGACGAACATCCTCCGCGCTTTCCCCAATCTTCAAACCCTAGAATACTATGCGGAGTCATCAGACAGCAAGAACCCTTATCGAAGTGTGCGCGCGTTTCCTGCCTATCAGGCAAACATCCAATACTATCCTACCGGACCGTCTGCTTTCGAGGACGATGTCTACGTGGATGAGCAGTACTGGGATCGGACGATATACGATGCGCGAAGCGAAGTTACTGACTACCAGAACCTCGTGGACGGCATGGTACATTTGCGACCAAACCTCGAAACCCTGAAGCTACCAGGAGGCTTCTGGACATTGCCAGGCGCGATGCGCAAACCATTACCGCGATTCGACCAGTTTGAGCAACTCAAGAAACTGGTCATCCCTCAAGCAGCGCTCATATCGATCAAGCTCGACAACATGCGTTTTGACGCCGTCTTCGAAGGCGACTTCGAACTTTCACCGACGCAAGCTCTTCCGATCTCTTTGCAGCACCTCAAGATTTTCGACGTTGATTTGGCATTCTTGGAATGCAGGTGGCTGCAGGATCTCTTTGGCACGCAGAAGGCCGTGAACCATTGGCCGAGATTGCAGTGTGTAGAGATCTTGATGGGGCCTACAGTCACAGGTTTGTGTCTTGAGAAGTTGAAGGCTAAACAGAGGGATGCGGAATTTTGGAAGCTGGTGGATGATGCGAACTTTGAGGTGGTAGTGGGAAGGGATGAGGAGGGACCGGATGCGTGAGGTGGGTCACGACTGTCATGTACGAGGCGGGAATATGTTTACAGTGGCCTTTGTTTACACAACGAGATTATGTATATGTCACGCTGCTTCGAACGAAGGGCAAGGAAGTCGAAATCGTGTCATGTGGTCTTTGGAAGGAATTAAGATGCACCTGTCAAACTCTCAACATTCGATGTAGGCAACTGAGGAGATCTCGTGCGTGGGATTCAACGAGGAGAAGATAAGTGATAAAGTTTAGTGATTCTTATAAACAGTATGCAAGTCTATATATGCACAAAGAAGTCGTGGTATATACAAGACAACGCCCGACCAAGCGAAGTCCGATCATCCCATCATAAACGCCGCGCTATCATCGTTCAAGCCTCATAGGTATCATCTAATCCAAAAGTAATCCCACCCAATAGTATGAAAGCACACACATTTAGACCTTGGTCTCAAACATGCGGGCCTCGACGTCCTTGCCAGCAAGCACAGAGTCGTTGTCAATAGCACCGTCAGTGGTACCGACATGGCTCTCGCTGTAAGCATCGAGCTCGGCGCCCTTGACCATGTTGAGGTAGATTGGGTAAGACCAGGCAATCGCGAAGAAGATGAGCGGGATGCACATAGCCTTTCGTGTGCCGATGCGGTCAGCAACGTTGCCGAGAATGACGGGGCCAACGGCACCACCGCAGACGGAGGAGACGAGGAAAGAAGCACCGCGCTTGGTGTGGCGACCGAGACCGCGGAGTGTAAGGGCGAAGATGATGGGGAAGATGCAGGACTCGAAGAAGAGAACGATCATCAGCATGCTGAGACCTCCCCAGTTGGGACGGGTGGCGCTGCCAGTGTTGGTGCCGATCGCAGCGCTGATGAAGATCATGATCAGGGTCTGGAAAGCGAGGAGGACGTAACGGGGCTTGCCGCCGTAGTACATGAGTCCAGCTGCTGCGAAACGTCCGACTGCGAAAAGGGCTTGGGCGATGGCGTAGAAGTTGGCTCCCTCGTGGTGGCCTTCAGTAACGGAAAGGTCAGGGCGTGCCTCAGCCTACAAATTTGAAGTCAGTAAATGTTTCATAGCATATGTGTACGGGTTATACGAACAAAATAGTTAATAAAATAAGCAGCGACGCCTACTTGTCCAGCGACGTAAGAGAACTGAGCAGCGGTACCCCAGAATAGAGTGTACTGCTTGCGGAGAGGCTTGTCGACGTAACCGGTAGCAGCGGTGGTCATCTCGGCTTGGTCGGCCATGTCGGAGTCGGTAATCTCAGGAATAGGAGCGAAGTAGAAGACAACAGCGAGGATACCGACGAAGCCAGCAATACCAAGATAGACCCATTGAACAGCCTCAAGAGACTTGCCGTCGGTACCAACATTCTTGAAGATAACCTGAGCAGCGAGGACGGGAGCAACGACAGAGCCAACAGCCTGAACGGACTGAGACAGCTCAAGGCGGAACTCGGAGTACTTGGGAGGACCGCAAACAGCAATGTAAGGGTTGGCGGAAGTCTCGAGAGTAGACAGACCAGATCCAGCAAGGAACATGGCACCACAGAAGCCACCGAAGCTTCGCTTGACAGCCGCAGGCCAGAACATGAGAGCACCGACGCAGTAGATGGAGAGACCGAGAATGAAGGTGTATCGGTAACCGAACTTGCGGAGGAACCATCCAGAGTATGTCAAAGGACCGATGAAGTAAGCACCGAAGTAAGCAGCCTGGAGACCAGACGACTCTCCACGGGTGATGTCAAGAGCGACCTGGAAGCGAGAGTTGAGGACATCGAGAAGACCGTAGGCGAATCCCCACATGAAGAAGAGGATAGTGACCAAAGTGACGGGAACGATGGATTGGCGGACTGTGAGAGCGGAAGCTCCAGTGACGACACGATTGTCGACAGACTTGCGGCGAACCTGTTCGTCGACGACTTCAGCGACTGAAGGGCGACGAGCTTGCTGCTCGTGGACTTGGTCCAGAGTAGGCTCTTGCGAGCCGTTGTTTCCAAAGAAACCCATGGTGATAGTAGGGTAAAGATGAAGATTGGGAACGAAAGTATATATAGCCCAAGGATCAACAGATGATATGTCTGTAGAGGCGAATCCCAGATAGTGAGAGACGAAGAGCGAGAAGCTGATGCTGTTTCAGTGAAGGGATACAGCGCACACTATATATCCGCTCTCCGCGTCCCCAGATACCCATCTCCATGGTATAGGTCGCGACATGGGGCTGGTGCCATCCAGACTGCAATAGCAGTCGGTAGCCCATTCGGTAGTCCCATGCTGGCGTTGGTTGAGCGCGGCGTATAAGCCGGGGTGTTGGGGTAGAATCTACTGCTAACGCATCGCCCCGTACGCTACACCCCAGTATCCGCAAATTTTCATCGGAGCGCTGCCGTGATGGGCTGGCTCTTCCTCGGCGACTCAGTAGCCTGCATATTTCCCCCGAGAGTATAGCCGGCAAACATCGGATGGTGCGTGTTTGTGTCCAATCACCACGTGCATAAGCATGCACTAACTGCAGCGCATGGACGTTCTTCTCCGAGCGGTCCCACTTAGTCGTTGAGCCTCATGAGACAAATGCCTCGCAGATGGGGCTCGATAGCATCTCCGCGTTGCCAACCCCATGGAGAGACTGTAGCGCAGAAAAAAACTGGAATGCACACAACAGTGGAGTCCCCAACCCGCAAAATGCCCAATTAGCAGCCGCTCCAGCGCCTTCT